CTCCATGACACATATTACCAGACATAGAACGGTGTCTGGTGGTAGTGGTAGTAGGCGTCGCTTCAGCCAACCTTTGCGCCGCACGTCTGCCGCTCTTACCTCACCTCACCCGCCGAATCCCGTTCAAGGCCCGTACCGTTTGCAAGATCATCCCGTGTTCGTACTTCTGTACAGTACAAGTCTCTCCTTTAAACACATGCCATGCTGCCATCGAAGCGCCTCCATCTTGCATGGTGGCGTGTTGAACTTGGCTCTGGATCGACGCCCCTTTCTTCCACTCTCCCTCGTTCGACCCCCTGTGTACCTTATACTTGGCGGCGGCGTAGCAAAAAAGGATCAAGCAGCCACCAACCAACTATCCGGGGCACATTTCCCATGGACCTGTCCAGGAAGAGAATCCCACCAGTAGCCTTACGGACCAAATGTTTGGGGACCAAAGTCCCCAAACAGTCTGGTATGTGCGGATGCCCCTTTACCATCCCCTCGGGTCCGAATGGATAAAGAAGAGGTAGATAGGTTTCCCTTGACGTGCCGAAAGAGGGCAATGGTACCCTCTCGGGAAGGAATGGTGGTCAGCAAATTCTAGCTTAAGCCAGTGAGATATGTAGTATTCTCAAGGCCGAGGAATGCGCAAACGAATACTCTTTTGCCAAGTCTTCCTGGCCGGTCTTCGTTCTTTCTGTCAGTAAGAAAGTTTTCTCGCTTCCCTACTTCATTTGAAGAGTATCTATGACAGACGTAGATGGGCTCATCATTGTAGATCGTGGTCATTCCGCAGGGGTCGTCGGGACTTCGTATCCATGGTTGTCGATGCTCTTCTCCGCGGGATGATGAATCATCATCTCTTCCGATCTTCTGTTCGACAAAGTCAACCTCGCTTTTACACTGTAGATTAATAAAGATGAAGGGGCAATTTGGCAAGCGAATGCGTCAACAAACACCAAAAGGCACCTACGTCTTTCAGGGCTCGCTGTAAGATACTCGAGAAAACAGAAAATTGTGACATTTTCTCGAATCTACAGTCAACCATATTCTCGTCAACGAAACTCACCAACATCAGGTCACCCGAGAGCTCCTTTATGATGGGTGACTGACTACATGACCCAACTCCATCCTCAAGGTTGTAGAGTCGGGTACAGTAAGTGGTTTAGGCTTACCACTCCTGACCAAGCCCGTTGGGCCTCCATATACCACGAACCGTCCATAATGGCACAAATCTCGCGACAGATTGTCGGAACAAGACACGGAAAAGCATCCATCTCCAGTGAAGATGGAGTAAAGTAGGCAAGACTAGAATTTTTCGCATGTATTCTTATAATACCAAACTTTCCCTTGATCCAACAGCAATCAAGTCCCCTCTCTCTCTCGGGTGGTAGTGAAGAAAGGGCCAGAAACAAGAACACCAACAAAAGACACACCGCCGTATCATGCATTGCCATATCATCTGAGATCATTTGGGTCGAGAGCACCTTCAAACGCAAAAAAGTCTCCCGCCCCTCCATTTTTCCCAAGAGAGAGTACGTATGACAGTTCCCCGGCACACTTCCGCCATCTCCGAACTCAAAATCTCTCGTTGGAACCTCCCTAGGAGTCGGGCAACGCCCACCCGCCCGCTTGCTGCTCGCTTGCTCTCAATGCATCATGTCCCCTTGGAAAACCCACACCCTGCGCCCGTTGACAGCATGGGAATTTCGTGTCCCAGGTAATCGCATCCGCGATCCTACAGAAGAAGCATAAAACTGTACCCTGGGAGACTCACTCCTCCTCCCCCTTCTCCTCGTCACTTTTCACCTACCTTTCCTCTGATCCTGCAGCGCCAGTTGTTCCCGCATGGGATGAGGAAAGGTAGATCCTAGCTCCAGGTTGTCCAGGTGGCAGGGCCTCGTCGTAGGCGGCCCCTCATCACTCACCAACCCTCCCCCGGTCCGAGGCCGAGGCCGAGAATCGAGACCCCAGGCCGGTCTCGTGTTTGGCTGGGCAAGGACGCGGATGGTGCTCCGTTGAGAGAGGTAAAGAAAGAAAGGGCAAGGAGGAGATTGGAGAGAAAGAGCGAAACGAATGGAGAGCGCGGCGATGGACTGGAAGTAGATGTCAGTTTCCACAATCTTGCAGGATAGCTCTCCTTTTTTCTCCCTTTTACTCCTCTTCCCTATGCACCTGTAGTTGCGCAAGGTTGGGCAGAAAAAAACTAGCTCAGTGCCCTTTTTCCTTTTCTACCCGGACCACTCATCTCGAGATCCGAGTTCCCGGATCCGGGCATCGGGCGCTCAATGAGCGCCCAGATACACCATAAGAGGGGGGGGCAAGATCCCAAAAGGGAGAGGTAGTGGTGATAAGTATTAAAAGTGTGAATGTGTGCTCGCATGCATATGAAATACAAGTGTGTGTGGAGCGCTAAGAGGGGGGCAGAGAGAGGTTGAGGAGGGGCACAAGGCAGACTTGAAGGTGGGTGTAGAGTATATCGTACTTCGAAGCGTATCAAAAGGAGATCCGCCAATCCAGCCAACGTATGAGCTGCAGGCTCGGGGCGGCGGGACTCCTCTCCGTCATGCAAGTCGCACGTCGAGGGTACGTGAAGGCTGCTGCTGGCTTGATGCGGGTCGGGGCGTTGGTTGGCAGCCTTGATGGAGAGAGAACATTTGCCCAACTTCACCCCGGGAAAATAGCGTGTCCCATCTCCTGGTGCAAGCGAGACGATGGAGGGAAAAGAGCCGAGCTGGACAGCACAAAAAACCGAGAGATTTGGCTCCTGTGATGCCCATAAGTCCAGTCTGTGCAGGATATAGAATGGCAAGAGCGATCGATGCGTATCTCATCAACGTGGTCGAACACTAAGAAGATGAAGGCATACGCCCTGAGCCTCCTCGTCTGCAACTTGTCGCCAGGACTGACAGTATGAAATGGCCGAGAAGGATGGTGCCTCGCAGGACATGAGCCATCGCACCACGCTCAGGTTCCCCTTCTCATGGAATATCGGTGTGCCGTCTCCTACGTCTCCTACATACGCCGCCTTGAGAAGGGTTCATTGCTTCGCTGTTCAAATGTTGGCAGCCACAGCGAAGTTCCTATCCCGGCCCGCACGGTATGCAGCCGTTGCCCAACCCGGCAGGGCTCAACGAAAGACTGTAACGTGATCAGTGCAATATCCCATTGGCGGGACGGGGAAGCGGGAACGAGAGCAACCAACAAGAGATGGAGGCCACCAGGGATGATCGAACGATGCGGATGGGCATGCGGGAGCCATGTACACCAGAATGATGATGTGGAGATGGGTAAGGGAATAATCCCTGGCTGTCGACCAATCTTGGCTCTACTGTTGTGGCTGGTGCCTTTGCTCGAGCCTCGAAGGAGTGTAAAAGAGAAATGACAACCCCCCCCCTGGCCGCATAACCTTGGGTAACGACCGTTGGCACCTTCCGCCTCGACTCAGTTCGTAAATCGCGACATGGACGTCTCAATCGCGGTAGCACCAGGACCGTGACTTGACTTTTTCTTGAGTCGCCAACCAAGCTTGCTGGTTTGGCTCACCTGTACTCACCCTCTGAAAGGGCCGATCTTGCGATTCTCGTTCCAGGTCATCGTCCACCATAGCCAAATTCTATTTATATATATATATATATATCATAATATGTTAGATAGAGGCAGAAAAACTACGACCGCACATATCAGCCTTTTCGCTGCGGACGTGACAACCATCCTGATTAACATTGGTCACACAAAAACAAATGACGTGCAATGCTCCGCTGGCCGACATGCCCGTACTGGCCACTCCTCTCATCGCGCCCTCTTGCCAACCGCAGGAGCGTGCATAATGAAACCCAACGCCTCAAGCCTAAGTCTGCGCCATGCCGAGACAGAGCAGAGTATGCATCATGCAAAAAACACGGCCCAACTGCAATGCTGCCAAGCCCGCGCCGCCGTCAACTTTTGGGTAAATCCGGCCCATTTTCTTCCTCGCCAATGAATCCTTAAGAAAAGAGCAAAGAATATAACGTAGCGATAAGAGAAGGGTCGCGACTATGACTATAGGCGGTCTGTTAAAGATGCTGCGTTATGCTTGTGTGTTACCTCAGGTCTGAGCCTGGAGCTCAGAGATGGAACGAATGAAGTATGGGAAGGCCGAGAAAGAAAAAGGACTACTACGCGGAGCCTCGATTTCGATCCGTGACTGCCGAGTCTCCAAAACACACAACAAATAGAGAGATAACGAGGCAGGAAAATCCTAAGAATACCGAAATGGCGCAAAGAGAAAAACATGACTTGACTGCATTTTTGATGCATTCCCCGTTGTGTCTGTATGTGCCTAGCTAGAGCAAAGCAGAAGAGCTTGACCGAATCAAGTGGCATGCGGTACCCTACGGGACGGGGGCACCCAAAGCCTCGAAGAGAGCAAGACAATGAGGATCGTGAGACGAATTGAGGTACATACGGCTTGAAGCTGCCGATTCTTGCATGTTGGGTTCGCGCTTGGCTAGCCCGAGGACTGCAAGCCTATCTTGGTAAGAGGAGGAGAGAAAGCAAACATGCCGCACTCCCACGACGTACAGTAGAAAATTAAGATAGACCACGAGTTATTGAATGAAACGTCGCATGGACAGTAGCAAGTTTGCCTGTTGGCAGGACGGCACCAGATCGACTAAGTCGCACGCCTGATATTTCAAGGTAGACCGAGAGTGATGGTACAGATGACAAATCGCTCTGGTGTTCTGCTTGGGATGTCTTGCTTTGGCGATAGGGTATCGAACGTTTGCTGCTAGCTTGCTACGCCTCGTTTTGTATATGAGCTTGCGACGGGAGGGTGACGGCAGGAAAATCGCCAGCGGTCTACCCCCATCTCGTGAGACGTGACGTAACCCTCGGCAGTCTGAGTGACCACTTTTGGATCATTGGATTTGCCTTGGAGATGGCTTCTTTGCCGTCCAAACAAATCTGCGTCCGGCAATCAGTACTCTGTATCATAAAAATTGGGAGCTACCGGACGGCACTCTACACACGGTAACTCACAATTTGCAGTAGGCATGGACATTGAGTCGACAGATATCCTGCTTGAGGTCGTCCACCAGTCTCTCCACGTCACTTCTTTGCCAGCCTAGCAACCGAATGAAGGGCGCAAGTGTCAGACCTTCCAAGCAATGCGTGAGACCGAGATTGAACCATGTACCCAACTCTTCCTCAGCCGGGATCTGGCTCCACGGGTTCGTCGGTAGTCTGATCACATTCTCAGTGATATCTGTGAAGCCTGCAGCAAGGAGCTCCTTTTTGGTGTCGATTACATCGATAGGTTGTCCATGTCTTCTCATCGCACTCCGCAGGTTGTTACCCCAAATGGTGAGAGACGAATTTGTCGCGAGTGTGTTGTCGTCGCTACGAGGAAACCATTCGATTTCCACCTGCTCGATGTAGCCTCCGGGCTTGATTTGCCTGAATGACTTCCTGTACAATGCTGGCCAATCTCTTATGGAACCAAGTAGCATCTGGATGTGAACCAAATCGAAAATTTGTTCATAAGGAAGTGGCGCCTCGACGTCGGCTCGCTCAAACCTTACACACGTGGGGATACTATGAAACGATAAGCCTGCGTCACGAAGAGCTGCAGAATAGGAGATGCAGAACATACAGCTTGGGTTGGATGAGGGAAAGGTCTAGCCCCAAGACCTGGCCTTGATTCTGATCTGCCCAAAACTTGCTATGGTGAGGGTGTCAGCAACTCTGGGTTTCAATACGAACGGAGTGTTGAATGGATGGTCTTACTCGCCCACGTCGATCGCCCATATGCCAGTGCCCGTCCCGAGGTCGAGGACCTGGGGTTTGTCAGGCAGAGGTACTTCCCACAAAAGGCCTCCTCTTGCCTTCATGATCATAGCGTGGAACATATCTAGTCTGTCTTTCTCGGCCTTCATAGTGAGTTAGCATTGGGAAAGAATTACCGCAGCGAGATTTCATGGCCAACCGACCTCATCAACAGGAAAAAGATAACGCCCGCCTCCGAATGAGCCATACTGGCGGCCATCCTCAGTGTAGTCAGGGTACTCGGTACCAGCAGTCCCACTGCAGATGGCACGTTAGCGGTGTGTTCTGATAGTGTCCAGGGCAGCAATGCCACCGTTATGTTAACATCATGGCATACCCGTTTTGTGACATTGCTACCATGCGAATGGCAGCGTGAACCGGAAATTAAATTAAATTTGCCGACTGTGGTTGATTTCTAGCCTCTCTTCGGGACTGGCATCAAGAGGTGACAGGTGATGCGCGTGAAAGCTGCAGGTCGATCTATCACCAACGTCCAAGAACTAAGAGTATACTGCTCTAGTTGAGCTTCTTACCACTCTGTTGGCGTTTCGTTGCGGTACGGTACTGATGTGGGCTTCTGTAAATTAGTAAATTTACGACAAGCTCCGCGTCCGTGTGGTGATGAGATCGATCATGGGCTGATGGGCAAAGTGTGAAGCTGGTGATTTTGAAACAGGGAAGAGGGATTGGACCTGGAGAAGTGGGATCGAGCAGCGGGCAATTTAAAGTGTGCGTGCAGTAGTAAGTCTTGAATGGGAAACGAAACGAAATGATGGTCGTAGTGCAGGCGGCTGCAAGTCGATGGGAGCACACGCTGATGGCAACCAGGGAATAACACTGCTAGTACGACTGCCTTTTATGGAGAAATGTGACATGAGCAAAAAACCCGTCTCATGTCATGAGGGTTGGTACCGGGAATGAGGGAAACGACTAACGGCCAAATGTAACAGACACCAGTCGGAAAAGGGGGCAAGGCAACGAAGGAGGCTGTGATCAAGCCAGAGTCTTCTTCTTGTGTCGAGGCTGGGCGACAGCTGCCAGCTTCTTGTATTCCAGGAGAATTGCGTCGGTACGTAGGTAGGTAGGCGCCTCTTTCACTCAAGACCGACGCCATCACACACATGGCGGTGTTCACCACCACCACAACAACACACACGAGACACTCTCTTCGACCAGGCCACACTTGCACTTGCACTTGCATCGACCAACACATATCCGCGAGCGCGCGCCTACATCAGATCGAACGCATCATTCTGCTTTTGTCTGTTTATGGTCCCTCCGCTGCAGGAAAACCCTGCTGGCGCGGCACTCCAACTTGCCCAGCCAACAACACGGCGAGCGATGATGCGAGCAAAAAGAGAAAGGAAGAGAGGGAGAGGGAGGAAGAGCTGCAGAACGGCTTTTGCCCTACAGAGTGGCATGTAGGGTGAAAATGACATGGGTCGAGGTGCAGCAGCTTAGGGCAGAAGAGAGGGCCGGATGCTGGGCTTTGACAGCGTACCAGTACATGTACCTGCATGTAAACGGTCGCAGCATCAGCTTGCTCGAAGCTGGGGGTGTAAGGGAATTGTGCAAAATGTATGTGTGCAACTGTGTTTGTTTGTGGAGAGGTAGGCTCCTCTAGTCCACATAACCAGTCCTGGGTTTCTTCCTAACATGCAGCGGAGGGGGAGGCGAGAAAAGGAACGAGGGAAAACATATGTTCACCGACCAAAATGTCATTGAAGTTCAGAACGTGGATGCTGTCCCAAGGTAGGCAGGTTGAACAGGTAACATATGGTGGGGTTGATCCAGAGAACAGGTGGGACGACGGAAGGAAAGCAGACAACGATTGACGTACATGTTTGGGATGGAGAGCGAGGTTTCTTCCTCAGCCGCTTAGGGCGTCGAGCGAGTCAATTGATGTCGCACAACGAATTAGAGAGGTCGTACGGACCGGGTCCGGTGCTGCGGTAGTCGGCGTCTTTCTCGTCGTGTGCAGATTGGCCCGGGAAAAGATAGGTTGCGAAACGACGAGAGGCGTCGCAGAAGGCGAGAAGCCGTTGGTTGGGTCGGGATGGGTTGGGGTTGGAGTTTCAGAGCGACCTCGACCTTCTGCCTCGATATCTTGGCGCTGAGATGGACTGACTTGGGTACTGCAAAGTAAACGACGTGAAGAACTTGGCCAGAATGAGATGAGGCCAAGGCGACAGGTAAAGTTGTGCAGTCGATTTGAGATGCAAGGATACTATGGACAGCACGGGTGAGATTGGTTGAAAATCGCGGCCAAAGCCCGGGTCAAAGTTTGGGGTTTGAGGTTTCGAGGTATGCTTCCGATTGTGGTCGTGGACGAGTACGCTGCAGGGTGACGAGATGTGATGCAGGTCGACGCGGGCGAGACGAGGTTCAAGTCTCCGTTGGGCAGGTTGGGTCAGGTCGGGTTCGTTTCGGCGACGGGCGGGAGCGGGAGGAGCAGCGATATGATGGGATGGGATGTATGGAGTAAAAGAAAGGGAAGAAGTAATCCAACAGAAAGACAAGGGAGGTAGGGATGCTCGCTCTACTCTGTAGTTGTATAGAGGGCAGAACCACTGGAGCAAACAAGGAGCTCCTGACTTGGGGACCTGACGACGGGCAGAGTTGGTATGTAAACCACGGTTGGTAAGGTGGAAACAGTCGGTCGTGTGGACTTACTTCAACGTCAGGCTAGGTCGTTGATTCCGCGCGGCAGATGTGTCTTCGCGTCTTTCCACAGCGTTGTGAGGGGGGAAGGACCCTGGACTCGATCAAGTGAACAAGCGAGGACCGAGTGATGCAGATGGAGAGAAGGACAGCTTCTCTGCTAGTCCCTGCTAGTTGTGGCTGGCTGGCTCGCTGGATGTCCCGGGTGTTGGTGCTAGTCTTTCTGTGCTTTGGCCCTAGAACGATTCTAGAGAACAAGTGGTGTGTGTGTGTGTGTGTGTGTGTGCGTGCGTGTGCGTCTGTCTGTGTTTGAGTGTGTACGTACACCGGCAAGTGTGAGGTGTAATTGTAGTATCCGTATGCAAGGTCAACGCGGGTATCTGAAAGCTTTGGAAGTCAACGTCGACAGGTACTCATTGGTGGGAGTCGCGTCAAGTCTAGCCTTGGGGTGGGTGGACCGGCGGATAAACGGTGGCGGCGCCTACGACGCTTTCTGTGAGGTCTGTGGGTGGGAAAGGCGTGAAGTGCAGACAGAGCAGGGACTTTCGGATTGAAGGCTAGGTTGCCGGATGCTGTTGAATATCGGTTCTTGAAAAGAGTAGCGTCGCAAGGTAATCGTGGACGAGACTTTGCTCTCCGCTTCCCGTAGCTCGGGGGATCGTCCACTGTTAAGTAGAATTAGTGGGTTCCTTCATCGTCATCATCTTCTTCTCCTTCTCCTTCTCCCTCTCCCACTGATACCTCGTCTCTCCTTGTCCTCGTGCAACTGTTTCCTGCCCCTGTTCCTGGCGCTGGCGCTGGCGCATGCAATTCCCATGGCTACTGTGGGATTTTGGGTTGATGCCACCCCTGTCGGAAGACTCGAGGACGCTCGATGTGATGGAGCTGGAGCGGGAGCTGGAGATGACGGCTTGTAACGCGAAGGCGGGAAAACGCTGACGGGCAGCGGGCTGGCGTAATTGCGCTTCCAGGGTCCGTTTCTTCTGTGGACTTCCAGAGCCTTGCCCGTCTCATTGTCGTTGGTCTATCCGTGGTTTGTCTCCCGTCAAAGGCCTGGCTTTCCACTCGTCCCACTTCATCTGTCTCCATTTCACCAAGTCACTTTTTCCCTTGAAAAAGCCACCCCAGGCTCTTCCAATCCCAGCCCGTCATGGATCATGACACTTGGATAAAAGCACGGAAAATGCGGAAAGGGGGTTTGTCTCCTACCTTGGAAGCAATCTTAATCCTGGGCAGGGTCACCGCGCAGTATAATGGATGAAGAAGATATCGAGAAGCCAGTTCGGATCAGCTCGAAGATGGGTAAGGTGGGCCAAGTGTAGAAAACAAGTATGCGGAATGCAAACTGAGTCCGTGTTCCTTGAGCTACCCGAGATGTTGCACAGACAGGCGGCGCCGTAATAGGCGACTGGACCGAGTAAAATCGAGGTGGAAGAAGACAACTCGCAGTATGGGATGGGAATGCAAAGCAAGACCTCCGACCGACTGCAGCTCCAGACCTAGCGAATTCGATGTAAGATAGTGTATTCGTACCACGCGTCATGCGAGTTGAGTTGGTTGAGAGTTGAGGTGAGGTAAGGTGGAGGATCATAGGATGGGGGTGAGATGAAGGAAGGAAGCTGCAAGGCCAGGCGATGCGTTGGGTCTGTGCTCCAATGAGGGCGATGGAAAATAAAGGGGAAAGAGGTGGTGGGTGAGAAACCCAAGGAAGCACGCTGCACGGGAAGGTAGCACACGATGATGGAAGATGCAAAAGGAAACTGGAACCCGTCTCCTGGATCATCCCGTCCTAAAGTACCTGGTACCCAGTTCGAATGTGTATATCTCTCTTTCCTCCTTGGTCCGTCTTCTTCATCTCTTCACCTTACCTAAGGTAAGTCATCCGTACATTGTATTTTGTTCACTTCAAGCAGAAACATCGGCGGATGACTGCCTAGTATTTGGATGTCTTGTCGACTGTTCAGGCATGGTTAATCAAGTCGATCTTGGCAAAGATCATTGCGGTTTCGTTGGTAAGTCTAATTTCAGGCATCTCCTTGAGTTGTGTTTTAATGCCTTTCTCCATCTTCCTGCTAATTTACCGACTGTTCTTCTATTCTTTCTCCTTCCTTTATCCATAAGTACCGTGCCCCTCAAGCTTCCTGCCTTACCTATACTTAGCTTTTGGCAAACCTAGTTCAGCACAAAGACGTAGTCCGGACCTCAAAGTACCTTATCCGTACATGTTCAATGTCTGTACTCCGTACCAGGGTTGGCAGATTTAACTTGGACCAACTCGGCATGGCCTGCAATGAACCTGTCTTGCCAAAAATGACTCTAGCGTACGGCAATCAGCGCCACTGAAGGAGGCGTCTTCAACTGCACTCTGCAGTCTGCATGCACCACACCACCACACTGCTACTTCGTTCATCTACACCTTTGATATTCAGGCTTCATGTTCCCTCGACAAAAGTCATCATCTGTCACCTCGACCTTTCAACTGATTCGACCTGAGACCAGATTCATCTACCCCAGCCTGATGTCTCGACTCTTGACCGACCAGACGTCTGTTTCGCCCGTCCAGCCTCCCTCTTTGTGTTTTACTACCTGGACTGCGGCGCTACTGTACATCTACCAGTAGGGCAGGCTTGGTGGAGAGAGTCAGGGGGCCAGTATCCGCCCGCCCATTTTAGATTCCCACCCTCATGTTCCTTTCACCATAACCCACAACGTACTCCGTACTCCTTGCACTAGTACTAGGCAAGACAAGCAAGCATCATGTGCTACCTGGCAATCTGGTTCTCAATAAGTATCATAGGCCAGACGCCATGTGTCGAGATTCGCAAGCAGTTCGGAGCACGTATCCAAGTACGGCTACCCTAGCTAAGGTACTCAACCGCATCATTCCAAGCTGGTCATGGCTTCTTCTAGAATCCAGTCGCCATCACATATTCGTACCTCTACCCCCATACAAATACCTTACACTACCGGTACCTTACTCGGTATCTCGCGGAAATCGAGAGGATCGGTATAGAGTGCCAAGTGGTCCGTCCCACCGAGGGCGGCCTTCTTGATTTTTGCTTCCTGTTCTTACACCCCTTGTATCTGCACAAGACTCACAATCTCGCACAGCTAAAGAGTCGAGCAAAGCCAGCTCCCTTAACGAGCAGCTAGGAAGCGTCAAGTCATGTCCCACCATGCTGCTCTCCCCAGAGTGGCGTCCAACAAAGTTCCAAGGGCTTGCAGGCTGGATGACAAGCCACCTCATTGTTGGCAACAACTTTACACGGGGATCCGGCGCGTGTGGACGGTTGTTTTTAGTGCCCGTCCACTGTGTCTTGGTTATCCCTTGCAAAAGCCCAGGCTGTCCTGACAGGGGTTCCACGGTGTAGAAACAGCTGGGAGCCCTGGAGGAAGCCCTGTTCCCGCTTCACCCCGGCTGCATTTTGGAAATATACCCTGTAAGCCATCTTGAGGGGGAAGCCCCCCCTTGGCCCCCCACCCAAGGTAATGGCCCCTTGTGTCTCTTCCCGCGCCCCCATTTTCATCGCGCGTTCCTCCGCTCGATTCTGATTCGGTAAAACAAGATGGATTCGGTTCAACGAGTTGAGTATTCTGGCATGGCCACATGGGTCTTACGGGTAACGAATGTAAAAGCAAGCGCGTCCTGTGTGAAGCTATAAGCAGACCGGTGCTGGGCACAAGATACTGTCCCTGTCAGTGTCAGTGGCAACCGTGTCAGGCAACTTGGCAGGTACCAACTTGCCTTTCGGATAAACGCTGGGAAATGGGACAGCCCAGAGGTCTTCTCTTTGTCGACTTGTCGTCTCGCCTTAAGGTACCTTAGGTGGCCTACCGTGCCTACCTTACTCAGGGCATCTTTACCGCATCTTCACCTGGCCCACTGTGCATTCCCTTCTTTCCCAGAGATGCATTTGTGATGTCGGCGTAAAAGCCCTGCCCCTTACCACATTGAGTGAGAAGAAGACTAAGTAGACGATGATGATGATGAAAAAAGAAGGTGACCTGGCAGTCACCTCCAACCGACCTTAGGTGCCTCAAAACGGATTCAACAAGTAAGGTAAGGAAAGCCCCAGCATTGCTCCGGGCGGTCAGGGACCGGGACCTTACCTGAGTACTTGCCCCGTTTCCTCGTTCACGTCCTGCTCCCTCTGTGTCGTTCTTTCCTTTCTTACCCTGCATAAATCTACGACTTGATTGGCATCTGCCACTCTATTTGGCAAGAGTACGTAGTTATTTACTTACCTAAGGTAGGTAGCGATCATTGCGTTACCATGCACAGGGAGATACCTTAACCAGCATTCTTTTCTCCCGTGGTATTCGTGCCTGACTTCAGAAATGGTAGCCACATCAACGACATCTCCCGAATGACGATGCGTCCAGAACTTCATCATCCAGTCACCCAGCTCTGCCACATCACCCGCATTTTGCACTTCGCATAGCCGGATATCTTCTCCCGACCACGAAAGACTTCACTGCCGACAATCTGCGCATTTGGCAGCTAAATTGTTAACTGATTCAGGGCACAAGGCTGTGTTTTATCGATTCAACCTGTCTCAAGGTTCGAGACATGCTCACCGAATACCCCTCCTCGAGTTCTCCGACACAAGACGGAATGCTCCCGAAGGTGCATAGCCAAAGGATTCTCCATTTCAGCCGTATCTCACGGCACTATCATGCTAGTCTCTGACATTTGTCTAGGGCTGTCACTCCCAGGTTCCTTACTCACACCACAGACTCTTTGTACGTCTCCAAGAAAGTTGAGAAAAGGGTGGTGCGACCGTGTCTTAAGTGACCTGCCCAAATCGAGCCCAAAATACGACGTTGCGACAAGGAAACAACCAGATTACACGCCGTTCATTTTCTTGAGACTACGGTATGCGTACAAATACCGAGTCAAAAAGTGACCCAATGATCCACCCGATCCCATCTCGACCTTGTCACCGCCTCTATGTACCCAGAAGTCCATGTGCTTAGTTCTTCGTGGAGGCTGCTCAACCATTTGCGTTATCAAAGTCAGATAACCGGAGACAAAAGCCAACGATCAGAAAACGGACCGTGTTTTGGGATGGCTTGTAGGAATCGGCGAGGAACACCAACAACCCGGGCAAAGTCTACCTCCACCGTGAGGTCTCCAACCATAGCGTCAATATTGCTTGATAGTGGGGAATCATTACGATAATTCTTCTCATACGGTATGTGCTTCCATCTGGAACGTAGCCCCCTTATTAGCAAGCAATCGTCTTGAGGAAACACCTCCATTCCGCACACACTGATCAGCCTGCTTGGTGCCCAGCATCACACAAACCCCTAAATATCCATCCTGGCTAGGTTTAGCGCTACTGACATGGTCCAGAGTACATACTGTAACGGCGTCCTGTTCACGGAGCTTTGAACGAAATCTTTCAAATCGTTATAACATCCGCGTTCCACACCGTCGTACGAATACCATTTCCTGTATGTGCAGGGATGACGTCGTGGCACCCAACTTCTCGGAACTTCCACCCCCCACCTCGCCCAAGCTGGCAACGGCTTTTTCTGAACGCAGATGAATCCTGCAAGGAGTCTGACACCACCTTGTTCGCAAATTCGCCTCACATAAATGGGAAGAGGAACTGTCTTGCGCCTCCGGGTGGCTCCGGCTCTACCGCAAAAGTATTCCTTCATCCAGCATGACGACACATGTCTAGAGTCAGAAATCGATCGAAATACCGCCTTTCCAGGATAGTGCGAAGGGGTTCAATTAGGCATGACTTGTTAGAGGCGCCCTAACTGCAGCATTTCCTGCCGATTCATCCATGAAGATCTTTCCGAGCACGTATCCGAATAACCAGCTTGGCCCTGCAGCAGAGCGGTGTAAGGCGGTAGGCTGCTGATATCAACCAATTGAGCACGGGTCTACCGGCCAGCGCAGACCGGGGCACGATGCCTGCTTCATCCCAGTCCGCAATGAGCACATGGTCTCTGGAACCAAAGGACTGGATCTGATCTGCACCCCCCTCGCTGGTCGAGATGGGAATATTCAGTACGCTAGTGGTCTTTTGTTCCACTCTAGAACGAGAGCCCCCGTCGTGTGAACCACGAGAAACGAGAAGCCTCAGACGATTCCTGCGTACAAGGAAATGGGACCCTTCGAATGCAGAAACTCAGAATGCAAGTCAGTGTGCCGTCGCTGTGGCTCTCAAAAAACAGAACGGCACCACCGGACCAACGAGATCTCGCACCAAAGGTGCCGCCGGCGGCATAGCGCCTATCCACGGGCAGGTGTCCGCGTGGCGCAAATCGCTCTTCACCGTACAGATACGGGTGCAAGTACTTGGAAATTTGAGACACCTCTTGCGCCCAACGCTTCCAAGATGCGGTCCCAGGAGCCTGAGCACACCTGTACTGATACCAAGCAGCCATTCGACCCCGCCTGCAGAGGCAATCGGGTCTTGACCCATTTCCAGCGCATGTCACCAACCTCCCTGAAACGGCATCACAGGAATCGATGGCAGGGACGTTGGAATGGTCTTGGTCTTCCTAGGCTGATCAGACGCAGGCGAGTGGGAATAAACGAATCAAACTGCACTTTTGCAGCGGCCGACGCGATCCCTGGTTGTCGAGGTCCCATGTCCAAGGGGTACGAATCATCCGAAGCCACGGTTCCAATAGCCTGGGACCGATCGGCACCAGCGGTGTTATTTCCAGGAGATGGGGGCGGTCGAGTAGCTACCCTGGCCACCTTTGTCTGTTCCCCTTTGGCCCAAGTACTCTCCGGATGGTTTCCCTGCAATCTTTGTTCCGCAAGTTCCCAGCCCCGAAAGGCGTGGCGGCGTTGGAGCCACCCACCCGCGCTCGCATGGACGGATACAATCACTCATCAGTAAGAGTATCAGTGACACGCCTGCCCATATCCTTAGCAGTCGAAATTGGACTCGCGATTCTTTCCAGCACGGTCATGTTGGACCGAGACGATGGACGGGCTATGTCTTGGTCCCTGCCGGGTGATTGGTCGTTGCTGGCTCGGTTCCACGACTTTCCCGCTTCTGCTCGGGGCTGCATACCAAAACATCCCGGGGTCCGTGGTAATGTCTGAGGCTGATGTCGGGGTTAGATGAGCTGGCAGCGGTGATGACGCTCCTCGACCCTTGACCCCTGAGACTAACGACCCGACACTCTGGTTCTGCATTTGCCGCTACTCACCCCGGCGTCAGCCACGACGGCGGAAGCCTGTCAACTGAGTCACAGGCTCAGAGCCTGGGCGGGAAGAAAACAAATGGAAGATGAGTGGGCCTGTGTGCGAAGCCGAGCCTCCGCGGACGACACGCTTCGAAAATTCCAAGCATCTCCTATCTTGCCGTGTCCCAATTTGCCGGGTTGACGAATCCTTGCCCTGAACCAGAGCAGGGTGCATTTGCTCACACACCACACATGCGTGCACCATAACAACGCTCGCGCAACCGGAACATGACGAAGCTCAGCCGGTACCAGAGCAATGGAATGGCTAATGTAAGGAAGCACCCTCTGCCTACTGACTGAAGTATGACCTAGTATCGAGACATCAGGTGGCATTGACGGCGCCAAACCTTAATCAAACATGATCGGTGGCATACTTGGTCTATAGGGGTATGTTTAAACTCCCTACCAGGTAGCGTGGGTCTGGCCAGGGTAGAGCAGTGACTCTCAATGGCCAAATTTGTGTTCGACGTGCACAAGAATCTCGAAAGTAATGCTGCTGATGTAATCACGAAAAGTGCGGGCGAAGATACCTGACAAGGGGGTTAAACTTTGGCCTGATACCGTAGTAGAGGGACTTTTGCACCAACCAACTACTGGTCGCCGAGAGGGCTAGGCGTCTAGACACGACGGTCAAAATTTAAGTCGCTCGAGCTCGAGTCACCCGGATCTTCCCCGCACATTGAACTTATTCAAAGTTACGAATACAAATCTGATAATTGCCAGTCATAGGTCAGAGCTTGCTCATGGCTCGACAATGAGGCGAAATTTTTGAGGACAGAAGCGGCATACCATTGCGATCGCCTGACGCTCTGGGCCGATGGTTCATCGTAGCGTCATGAGGCGGCCGCCAATCTCGTACGAACAAGTGATTTGCGCCGGCCTTCCCATCCAGCAAACGGGGCGAATCCTTCTGACTGTCCCACATATTGTGTACCCTTTGCCATGGAGGGATCCAAACATTTGGAGTCGGAGCGACCACGTATTCGCACTACCATTATACTGTGTCCGGATAGTATTCGGAAATCGCCCAACCATTCTCCGTACATATAGACGTTGGTTACATCGTCTGACAAGCCAGGCAGGCATCGGTGTTGACGCGCAGCAGTTGAGCATCCAACGGGGTTCGGCGGGCATCCCAGTCTTTGCCAGGTCGCTGCATCACGGCAACAAGGGTTTGCTTATTGGCAATTCTTTGATCCATCCAGACGGGCAAACGCGTTGATTGCCTATTTGTACCCAACCCCTGCCACCCTACTTGAACTGATGGACTGTTGCATTCCTTAGCCAACGCTCCCGAGTCTTTCCATCTTCCCTTCGGTATGGCGCAAGTCTACTTGGAATTAACTTGAACCGCGTAAAGCACCGACATGGGCCAACCCTGACGGAGGATCTAGGTCGGGTTTTCGGCAGTTGATGCGCCAAAAGAAAAAGATCTTCCAGATTACCTGCGCAATCTAGTTGGCTTCAATATTGGCTTAAGCCAGGCTTGACGTTGTCTATCATCTACGGATTGTCAGATATGGTTACACATGCGGCGTGCAGGCAGCAGGGCAACACTCCCGAGGTTCTAGTGGCGACCGACGCTGCATATGTTGGAGAGACAGGAACTGAAAACCAGATTATTGTTCACCGGAGCCTCTCGGACAGGCTCAGCGACGTTACATCAAGCTGGTCTCCTTTGAACCCTATCACAGCAGCGGTCAGGACCCGCGAGTCGCAGGGCGGCTATGGCTGGGTACCGCCGTTGAATCTTGCCTGCCGATCACAATGCGTCAAGAGGATAGGCGATCTGCTGCGCCGCCAACGTCGGCGCAAAGGCGCAACATCAAATTTCTGTTGGAGAACAGGCTGAGCTAATCGCCTCACAATGTGCATCCTAGATCCTTGCCTGGTCGATACTCAATGCGGTGAACCACCCGTCGCTTGCCAACACCCAAATGACACCGAATACGATTGTAATCTGCGGCATGATGATCACGCAGAAGGCGAAAGTATGACCTAGCAAGCCTGGCAACACTATCAACAGGAATGCGGCACAGTTCAGCGGCAATCTATCACAGCCGCTCACTCCAATTGGACTCTTTCTCTTTATAGTAGGAAACCGGGGCCGGTGTGAGAAACAACGAACAACAAAATCCCCGAGCGAAGTTGACCGACAGGGAATGTGATCCCAGACGCCATCCTTCAATAGCGGTTCCGAGCTCTCGGGACCAGGTTCTACGCCAGCACGCCCTGTCCTCTGGTTTTCCGGAAAAATCAACGAGCTCAAGATGTATTTCTCAATTGGCCAGTTGGCGTGACTTCGTTTGTCCACCAGTCAGCACTGTTACAACCATCTCATCTCATCTCATCTCAAAGACGTTTCCCATACTCGGTGTCGGTTAAGGACAATGCTTGCCGGTGCTCTTCGCCAATTATTCGCTCATTGATTGGCCTCGTGGGAGGTGGCGTTGTGTGTACCGATTGACGGTCACCTCACGAATAGAAGGATACATCGGCTTAGTAGTGGAAGCCATGCGAAACTTGTTTCAACGTCTATGTTGACGATGCGGCTCTGCACCATTTCTGCAACTAGCTAAGCAATTCGACCAGACAGATCATCAATCATTGAGCCATGTCGAGATATGATGAAGTCGCCAGCGATAGGCACGAAGCTGGATGCCTGGTAGGGTATTTACAATGCGTCTGCCATTTCCTCTGATGATGGTCTTGAGTCCATCGATACGGATACAAAAGCTGACCAACGACCACGAGCTATGGTACCAACCAACCTACCGGTCGACGTATCGGTTGGCGTCTCGAAATAGCTGTGGCTATTCCCGGACTGATCGAAGAATGATAAGTAAGAACAATTAGAAGGGGATTTTAAGCGCCCTTGGTACAACTGGGTTCCCACATCTATAATAATCAAACCCGAAAAAGTACGCTCATCACAAATAAACCAAGCGTTTCGCCCGTTCGTCGAGAGTGGAACCATGGCCTGTCGAAAGTTGTAACATGTCGGAACCCTGGCTGGTCTTGGTGTGCTGCACGCGCATCGAGGACGCTCAACGGGCCGTACCACAGCGTGTGTACACGTGTCTTAGACTCGGGTGCGAAGTGCGCTCACCGATAGTGGCCTATCCATACTCCGTGGACAGTCGGTCGATGCATGCTGCACACTTCCGATTGAGTACAACGGCGGGGCTCAAGAGGCTGGACGTGGAAATCGCCAGTGGGCCTCCACGAGAAGGCGACGACCATCGATGGTTCCATGGACCATATACACTACGCAGTATCCATGCTTCTCCAAGGGATTTCCGATGATGAAGCGAACTTCAAACGGTCGTGCAATTTAAATGAAACTCCGCTGGACAAGACCACGGGGCTCTGCACGAATATCCACTGCAGCTTTATCGAGGGGGGGCATCAGTGACGAACATCTCCCTCAGTACTCCGTACGCAGTACGGAGTAGAGCGCTTGAATAAACATGCGGCTGGTCTGAAGCCTACATACAGGCGAGCGCTTATCAAGGACTGCTTGCTGATGATCCCATCAGACTATGCTCGCCGCTGATTCATTGACCCCATTGAACCATAGGCCAATTTTCGGAGAGGTGCTCACCTTCAAAGGGGGCCCACGATGGGCCCTCCGGTGATTGCTCGGTGGTCACACCCGAGGAGCCGTTCGTTGACGTTTGACGGGCCCTGGATATGCAGTCTCTGCAATGTATCCATCCGAAGTTCCGGACACTTGCGGATAGAATACCGCAAAGTCGTAGCTCAACGGATCAACATTCGAGATTTTTTTCAGTCTTACCAGTGCCTGTTTTGCAGAATGCAACGTCGGTACTTGATCGGTATCCACTAAGTCGGAATGAGGCCGAGATAGGTCTACGCGATTTGCTTACGGATTACTCCTATCCCTATTCTGGCGCAACGTACATTACGAGGTGAAGGACCAAACTTTGGCTCTTTTTCAATGAAATGCGGAATACCGGCTACCATGGGTTCATGGTTCACTATCACCTCCTTCTGGGCCATCCTCGGGTTGCTCTAGCCTAGGCCCTACGGATATGTAGGTTTCCCGATGTCCTGTAGCCGATGAGATCGATTTGTCTGCCCATTACAATCTGGCTGCCCCGTGGGCCCGTAGGTTCGACTTCCTTGGATAGCCGAGCCGAGGGACGCGAGCTGGAGATTTCTGTGAGGTCACCTTTCCCGAGGGCGAAACCATGTTAGCATGGAGGTATCTGTACGAATCGAGTCGAGTCGATCGTCTCGCTGTCGAGAGCGCGGCGGAAGCCATCTCCCGGGACCCGGGGGCCCGCCTATTAAGGATGGATTGTGTGGCGTTTGGCACGAGCCGCGGGCTTCTGCTGGTACGTGGTCTGCAGAGTGGGTGGGTTCGTGGGACGGACCGATGGTCTGGTGTTTTGGTGTGCTTCTACGCAGAGGGGTGGATGTTATGTCTGTTTCGACAGAGTCTAGACACTTAAAGGCGGATTACGCACGATGTAGTGCTGGAGAGAGAAGTGGTTTATTCACCGGACGGGGACTCTGGTGTTCCGTTCAAGGGGGGTTATACTACAAGATGCGCGTCTTGAAATCAATCATCTAGTTGAGGGGAAAGAAAACGAGTCGAGATTACCGAAACTACTTGAAGTATTTGATCATCTTTCTTGTCCTAACATAGTGTCTTTGGCTCGGGCAGAACGATCAACCCTTGAGGTTTCTTGGGAAGGATGGCATTTGTGGTCATTTGCCATGTGAATGAGTCATTCTCGGCATGTATAAGTAGCCGCTATCTAGGCCAAAAGGTAATTGCTCTACATGAGGGAAATACTCTGGTATGTAATCTGTGTAACTTTGCGTCCCTGTCTACTCAATACCACATCTCGAGTTCTGTTCATTGTCATATCTTTGGCCAAGATACTGTGAGCCTCGCGTTCGAGTCTACCTGTGCCGCAAGTTTATATGTCTCCTTACTCGACGAACGGACCTTACTGACGTGAGATCAGGATGGAAACCCAGAGCTCAGGATACTCCCCCCTCCCTTTTTCTCTCTGCCACTAGCTATGAGGGGTTCAACTGTGCGAACAACCTTCACTATAGGTCACGGGCAGGATTGACATGGGCACTTGTTTGATATCAATGATGCTGGGGCAAATCTGCGATCCGCGGATATATCTGAATGACTATGCCAGGGGAGGCCCTACCTGAGACTTGGAATGGGCACACAGACTGTATGAAAGTGAAAGGTATGTTACGAGACATATCTGCGGTGAGATGAGCTAGAGGTAGAGGTAACTCCCACCCCACGAGTAAAAGAAGGGAATACAAACCCTATGCCCATGAAATTCTACTTGACGCCACAAGGAGTGCGTTCCAACTCCCCACGGAACGGATCGAGATCCCCTACACGGAACGCACGGCTGGCTTGGACTCCTGTCGACGTAGCTGATCTGGGGTCGAGTGATCGAGCACGTTGATAGGTCCTTTGACTTCCACACATTGGCAGACCAATTTTCTCTTGTCTCATTACCCATGGCATCTTCTTAAAACATCATCATCGCAGCGGACGGAGCCACGGATTGTTGGGAAGGGAAGCGAGGCCGCAAGGGCAAGTTAGAGTTTGAAACAGAGACATCAAGGCGAGTAGAGAGATACGATTACAAGTTCCGTTTGATTCCAAAGGCGGCACACTGCCGAGTTACTACATGTTTGTATACTTATGAGAGAGCACGAGGTGTAAGGGGGGTTCGGTCCATGTATAAAGTACGTCGTCAGGTTAAGACAAGACGGCAATGTACGTTTCACAAAAGGGGTGCGGTGGAAAAACACCCCAAGAGCTAACGTTGGGAAATATCTCACTTTGATCCCATTAACGCCGAGCAGCGGGACGAATAGGTCTTAGAAGACGGGACATTTCTGTGGCAGCAGATTTCTATACTAGAGAGTCGGGAATAACTCCATGATCTTTTACTGTTGTACACGTTTTTCTTTCTTGGGGGTTGAGTTTTCATTTTTGGTTGATTGTCTGATGAAAGAAAAGGGTCTGCTGCATTCCTATCGAAACCGGTGCGAAGGAAAAACCACCTTGCTCTGACCCGTCTCCCATGCCTGCTTGACTGAAGCGAGTCTCCCTCCCTTTTGGTCTTCCCTCCTGTAGAAACCATCGCTTGAACCCCCCAAGCTCTCATTCCCTCTCGTGGCCACTGTCTCCTGAGCTCTGTAAACATGGCATGGGCCCCAAGCCGCTTCTGAAAACATGCCTCTGTGCTTCGGGATGCAATGCGTCGCAATGTGTATGAATCTCAGATCACGCCCCCTGATGATAGTGGGAGATAGTGACCAAGTTGTGGAATCCAATTTCCGATGCACCGCAAACGGCTTCATGACATTGCAGCAGGAGTTGGGCGTCGGCTGCCATTCCGGGAGAAGAAGAAATCAAAATGAAGGATGCTGAATTTTTTTGGGCATGTGGCTGATCTCTAGCCTCTGCCCTCTGCTAGTCTACAAGATTGAAATTGGATAGGCAATCAAGTCGAGGTCGACGCGGGTAGAATCGAAAAGACGTCATTCCTCATACGATTGCAAAGCGTCGATTCGTCGTGCAAAACGCGTGGGTTTTCTTACCACTCGTACTCGCCAGTGGCCTTGTGGAAGACGTATTCCTTGCCATTGACGGTGAGGACGCCATCTTTGAGAACACACTTCCACTTGTTCTTGACGCGCTGGACCTTGTCGTACATGCAGAGCATGATATGTCCAAGACCCTCATCATCAACCTCGTCGTCATCCTTGTCTTCATCGGGGTCATCAAGATCTGAATTGATTGCGTCTTCGTCAACTTCATCATCATCGTAACCATCGTAGCCAGCAATTCCACCGCGCTCCTTGCCCTTGGATCGTGCGGTGGCAGCCGACGAATGTCTCGTGGCTTCCTTCAGAGGCAGCATCAAGCCGCCACCCTCCATGCTCTTGGCGTTGGCAGCAATCCGCGCATGGATCATGCGATCAATATCGACACGTCCAAGCTCGCGCTGAGAGCCGTCAGGGTTGCGTTGGAGCAGAACGCCTTCAAAGTCGAAATCGTCGCCAGCACCATCGGTCTGCGAGGGATTCACACCTGGCTGACCATTGCTAGGCGGGCGCTGCTGTTGCTGACCCTGTTGAGGAACTCCAGGGCGGTACTGCTGTTGCTGCTGCTGTTGAGGCTGGCCGGGCATCTGGGGCAGAGGCGGCTGGTTGGCGGGCCTGTTGGTCGCTGAAGCTTGAATGGCGTTCATGGAGGCGGCGCCTTTCTCACCGAACTGGCCGCGCACATGTTGAGCGGCCCGGTAAGCTGCGAGCCCAGCGCTATCTTGTTGAGATGGGGGCATCGGCACGTTCTGCATACCAGGCTCCAGCTTGATATAAGGCTCCTCCTTGACAGGCATGTTACCGGCCTGCTGAGCCGGGGTTCCGCCGGGCAGAGGTAGACCGGGCACTGGAAGTTGGGGACTGAGCTGGGCTTGGGAGTATGGAGCCGCAGGCGGTGGAGCGGCCGTAGTCGGAGGTGGTGCTGCGGGAGCTGGAGCTTCCTTGACGGGGTCCCATGGAAACGCCGCGACCTCGAGCTGAGTGAGTTTCTCCTGCCAGCCCTTCTTCAACTCTTCCAGCACGCTCTCATCAACACCGCCTTCCTCGAAATCGACTCGAGAAGAATTTATCACTTCATCGATGATTTGCGAGTAAACGTTGCCCACCGCGTTATTCGACATGGTGGCGTTCGTTGGTCGTCGTCAACTGCGTATTGTCGAAGAAAGAAAGTCGTGTCAAGCCTCAGTACCGACGAGACGGATGTGTGACTTCTATGGTTGCACCTTCTCCGACCTGATCCCTCCTTCCTGACCGTATGGACCGTGGGGTACCGAAGTCGTGGAAATTGTCGAGAATATTGATTCGGGAATCCGCCTCAGAAGGTTGCTGTTGGGTAGTCGACGGGGAATCGGCTGCTTAGCCCGCTGTTTCTCGCTGCCCAAAATGGCATGCGCGTACGTGAAATCGGTAATGGCAGAGGCGTAATCGATTGCCTGTGAGATCTCACCGGTTTTTATCGTGATATTCGATGTAGACAGGGTGTCTGACTGGGCCCTGTTTTTCGCTTGATGATGTGTACAGGTCAAGGTTGCCTTTGTTCGGTGGGTTTCGTTTTGAGGCTCGAAGCAAGCGCTCGCCTATTAGTAAGCTTAGGCGGCAGCCGCACAGTGGGAAGGCTGAACTCAGGTGCACCTGCCAACTGTAATGGAAGTGCAAACCGTGATGATCGCTGAAGGATCCACACTTCCCGCAGGGACTGATAAGGCCTTAATTAACCCGATAAGCCACCTTGGAAGTGGATTGATGCCGGAATGCGGGGTGTGAACCGCACCTCGTCGCCAAGCAGCTAGCTACCTGCCCGGTCAATATGCCTGCTGTCAGAAGTGAAATGACCTGCTGCACAAGAGCCACAGACAACTGCTGTCTGTGAAATCAACAGCAGACACAATCAAAGTGTTGGTCTCCGTATCAGACAAAGTTGAAACCCAGGTTTTCTTTATTGTAAGAGCGGCTCTTGTCACTTGACTGCGGCCGTCTTTTATTGTACTACAGCACGTCCCTGACGATGCATTCCTTCCCAAAAAAAAACAAGCATTACAAATCTGTCCCATGCTAAACAGCAATGAATGATATCTTCTGTCGTTACTCATGACCAAGCAATTTCGTTTCCCGTGGAGAAGCCCTTTCGTGCCACGTAGAGTCGGATGCAATAAAACCAAACTCCTCGCTGAAGATGACCCCAACCGCCGAGAACCCATGACCGACAAATGCCAGAGGAGATATACCTACATTTATTGACGTTGTTTGACCGACATTCGCCAGGCTTGGTCGATGATGAGTCGTTTACCGGATGGTCATCTGCTTGACCATGTCCGCTTTGGCCGAAGACGTGCTGCTGCCAACACCGGCACTGGCACCAGCCTTCTTCTCGAAGACCTTCCAGAACTTCAGACTCTCATCAGCAGCTAGGAGGCAGTGATTAGTTAGCACATGTTATGGTCAGTGTTTATGCTTCCAAGACTCACCTGCGGTAGCTAGCATCTGACCGTCAGGGCTGAGGCAGCTGTGCAAGACTCTGCTCTCGTGTGCGGGGATCTCGACATTGCGAACCAACGTAGGGTAGCTCCAGATGCTCAGGGAGTTGTCGGGGAAGCCACTAGAGCTGACAATCTCACGGTAGTGAGGGCTCCACCGCAGGCTGGTGACCTGAGAGCCAGTGTCGATGCTGTTGACGCGAGCACCAGAAGTTGAGTTCCAGAAGTGGATGTGGCGATCATAAGAGCCACCACCTGTAGCCAGGAGATTCATGTTCCAGGGGCACCACGCGAGGGCCTTGACAGCAGCCTTGTGGTTGGTCTTGGTGAACTTGGGAACAGAGAGCGAGCGAGCGTCCCAGATAGAGACGAGGTTGTCGTTGCCTCCGGTAGCCAGTTGGGCGCCATCCGACCGCCACTCCAGACCGCAGACTTCTGAGGTGTGGGAGACCAGCTCTGCCACCTTGTGCTCCGCAATGCGGACATCGTGGTTGAAAACCAGTCCGCTGCGAGCACCAGTTGACAGAAGGTGCTTGTTCCAGCCCATAACACCAACACGGGTGTCGTGACCAAACATGCTGCGGACCTTCTGGGCCTCGGCCACGTCCCAAATCTGAACCTCACCAGTGCCAAGACCGACACCGACATACGCGCCGTCACCAGACCACTTAACACTGCTGACGTACGTGTCGGGGCTTGTCTCAAGGAGGCAGCTGACGCTTCCCTCATCGGCGGACCAGACGTAGACGTTGCGTTCGAGGCCGATGGCAACCTGGTTGCCAGAGCTCCAGTCGAGAAGGTTGAGGTAATAGTCGTCAATCAGACCAGGAGCATCAAGGACACGCTCAGGGGCAGTGGCAACGCGACGGCGGAATTGGGCTGACGTGGCGCTCGCAGGCTTCAGAGGGCGGTTGTACTGCTGGCGGAGGTCGATGGGCTTGGAAGATTCGGGAGGCGCAGGCTTGAATTGCAGAATACGGGTGTTGAGGTCGACTCCGCAAGCGTTCGCAAGAGAATCTTGGTACGCAACGGTGTTGGGAGAAGGACGAGAGTAAGTCGAAGGCTCCTCGTCCTCAATGTTGAGACCCTCGAGGGCAGCGATGGCGTCATCCGTTGCGGATGAGAGCACATTGGATGCTTCGCTCACGCTGGCCTTTGAGCGCTTGTCGGGTCGGTCAAGCTTGCTGCTGCCGGCGTTGGAAATAGCAGAGCTGGCGCTACGGTTGGGAATGAAGCGGTCACCGCCATAGTTCACAGTCGTCTTGCTGACCTTTTGTCTGTGAGAGCTCTTCTTGGCCTTGGCGCTGGAAGGGGTCTTGGAGGTTCCAGAGCTGGTCAAAGCAAAATCGGACAGGCCAAGCTCGAGGGCTCTGCGAGGAGTTGAAACGCCTCTGGCAATGTTGGACTTGGGAGAGTCGCGGTGAGACGACTTGGTGGTGGTGGATCTAGCCAAGTGCGCGGTGAGGTTGCCGCCGTAGGTTGACTTGCTAGATGCGCGGTATGCGTCGCTGCCAGACTGCTTCTCAGGAGTGAAGGGGGAAGAGTTCAGGTTCACCGACACCGAGGTGGTGGAATGCTGACGTGGCGAAGGTGTAAGAGGCATGCGACCGCCGGCGGTGCGGGAAGAAAAGAGACCCTTGTGGGATTTGATGGGGGTGGATACTGATGCAGTGGCCATTTTGGGTAGTGTATGTGGGGTATCGTGATAAAACGAATTGTGAATCTCCAACGGGTGAAGCTTGGCGCACCGATGGACGAGGTGATGAGAGCTCCAAGGAACTCTATCGAAAGGTTCCTGGATGTTTCGTGTGTTTTATTAGTATTCTGTCGTTGTTATACTGCTCGATGTTCGAAGTAGTGCCGTCACCAAAAGAACTCGAAGTCGGAGGGGCGACCAAATGGCTGCAGACAGCGATGAGATCTAGCGGACTTAATTGTTCTTGTGAAAAGGCTTTGATTGAGAAGCTTGACCCAGCTCGAAAGCGTAGGAGAGCGGATTCAGGGCAGTAGAGGATAACGGAGGTGAAGAGATTTGATGCAGAGAGAAGAAAGCTCGAAGCTGGACAGGAGCTCTCATCATCTTTTATTTACTTGGTGCCCCACCATCATCGCGGCCGGGCAACGACGCTTGGGCCAGCGCTGTAGCGTTGCCAAAGTGAAGTGGGGCATTCTGACGTTGCACCGTCAAATTTCACTGTTCACTCAGCTTAGGTACGTGTCTTGGCACCGTTCGCCAGGAGAAGTGATGGGTCACGTGGCTTCCGTTGCGAGTCGGGCGCTACCGCCGGCAACCGGGCAAGCCAATGAACGAATGGAAGCGCTGCCTCCTTCCCCCTGCACACAGCCCGTCTGTAGTTGCCACGACAGAGACAGACTGGAGACAGGAGGGTGGCCCGTGATTCCCTAATTAAGAGGCCTGGGTTGTCAATGCAGGAACATTGTGAATCTCCACCTCCCCGGCGTGCGACGACATCCCATTCCATTTCTCTATCGCTTGCCGTCCCTCTATCGGACTTGCACTCGGTAGAAAAGCGTCGCCCGCTCCTGCCGCGACTTCTGCGTCCCCACGCTATTCAGCCAACTACACGCCGAAGCCAGCACCACTTTCGCGACCTCGCATACGATTGAGATGATTTGTTAGCATCCACCCTACATTCGCTGCCCATCATGGCCCAGCCTCAGCCATCACCAGTGACTCCTGGTGCCTTAGCCCAATCCCTCTTCGGTGGACCGGCATCTCAGGCCCTATCGACACCCAACCAGGCTTCGAACACATCCGCGCAGCCTACACCTTCTCCGATGGACCAAACTCCGGGTTCAGCAGCGTCAAGCAACAACACCTACATCATGCCCAACTCTCCTATTAAGAGTAGAGGTACCTTGGATGGCTATCGTCCAAGGGTAACAAGGACCTTGGGTCAGCGACCCGCCTGCCTCGTCAACGCCTCGGTCACATATTGTGGCAGTAATCACATCTATGCCTTCGGAGGCTTCGACCAGTACACCGACGAAGTCTATAACCATGTCCTCAAGCTGGATTTGGTTAGCCACCAGTGGAGTTTGGTTGACAATTACGGCGATATCCCCGGCGTAAGGATGGGTAAGTTATCTTGATCATGCAGCGCGGTTCTTCCCTCGTCATGATCTAACGAAAAACCAGGCCATACTGCCACTCTGTACCAAGGTGACAAACTTCTGGTCTTTGGTGGCGAAAACGAGCACCGCACCTATCTCTCCGACTTGATCATTTTTGATCTGAAAACTGCGCACTGGACACAACCTTCGGTAACGGGTCCAGTACCCAAGGGTCGAGCAAGACATGCAGCAGTCTTACACGAGGATAAGCTGTTCATCGTTGGAGGCATAACTGGTCACGACAACTACGTTCTTGACGATATCTGCTACCTTGATCTCAAGACCTTCACTTGGTCCCGCTCATGGCGTTTCGTAGGTCGATTCGACCACTCTGCCTACATCTACGGAGACAGAGTATGGGTTTTTGGCGGATTGTCCGAGGACATGGACAAGATTGGCGATCTCTGGTGGCTCGACCTCAAGGGCAGCCCGGCTTTTGATTCTGCACCGCATGTTGGGATATACGATCGTCAATCCGGCACCAGCCGCGCTGTCGGTTCGCCAAGACAACCTTATTCTATGGCACATCCACCACCTGCCGTAGGCTCCTCGGGGTATGCCGCCAACTCTCGGACCCAACAAGTCAACCCGCCTTCTTTCCAGCTTAAAACCTTTTCACCCATGGCCCCAGGAACAATCTCATCTCTGAAGTTCATTTCTGGACCCAACATCCCCTCACAAGGGTCTGGCATACACTTCCATGTGTACTCCTCGGGCACACTACTTGACTTTGTCACACCGGCCGCAACTATCACTTCTAAAGAGTGTTCATTATCAGCACTGGATCTGGGAACTTTGCGATGGCAAAAGCTGGCTGAGGGCCGCGAAATCTTCAAGTCAGGCTACCGATGGCACTATTGTACCATGAACGAAGACGGAACCAAGGCATGGTTGCTCGGATGCCCTACTGACCCTGCCGCGTCGGACTTAGGTCCCAACGGGTTCGAAGAATACCTAAGGTGAGTAACAATCATCGACCACCGAGCGTGCACGATTCTGACTCGTCTACTTGTAGCGACATAATGGAGATCGATCTTCGTCGATACGGCTTCTTAGGAAACAATTTTTCTTCTGAGCCACGCATAGAGTCAAGGCCGACAACGCGAGTGGTCGACCAACCCTCCAAGGGGCTTGGAGCTGACTTGGCAAAACTCTTTGATCATCCTCCCGAGAGCGGCAGTGGCACTGACTTCATTGTCACGGCATTGGAGGGCGACTACGAAGACGATGACATGATGACTCGTGTCACAGATGCGTCTGCAGGCCAAAATTGGCTCGCGCCCGACGCTCCTACATCCCAACCAATCCACGTTCACAAGCTTATTCTCCAGGCTCGTTGGCCACATTTCGCCAGGCTATACAACTCCCAGATGGCGGAATTCCACACGAAGAAGATGCACATCCCCGAGCCATACTCAGTGGTCAAAGCTTTTCTTTACTACCTATACACTGACAGCATACATGGGACGTCTGTCAACGAGAGCGGTGCCACCACTGATTTGTCTGACGTGGCTGGGCTTCTCGTCATGTCAAACATTTACGGAATTCCGCATTTGAGACTTTTGTGCGTGAACCGACTCTCCAAAGAACTTGACGTTGATCATGCCTGCGTCATTTGGCACTGTGCTGGACTGGCGAACGAAGAATGGCTCCGTAAGCGGGCTGCACAGTTCTGTCTTACGCATTGGGGTCGTATCGTACGAACCCAAGGGTTCCTTCGCCTGCCACGTTCGGCGCTTGTTGAACTTTCTCAGGAAATCGACATGGAGGGCCGCGTAGTCGGCGGTGATGAACTGGAATACGTCGGCGGGTTGGCAGGTTCCCGGTTCGGAGATGGATGCTCTGTCGTCAGTCGAAAGGAGAGTATTAGCAGCAACCACACGCAGCTACTTGACAGTGAAGCCGACGACGAAGACGGCATGGAGATGAGCTAAATGGATGGTTATGGCGTCCATCCACGCGTGGCTGGATTGATACACCACTTGATGTGCTGAGGCGAATCATGTGAAGGAAGGGACTAGCAAGATGTGCCTAACAGCGTGAACATGGTTTCGGTGCAAATTGCTTGGCTTGCATTATTCCACCTCAAATCTCATGGCTTTTGGCAAGTAACGAAGAAATGTCTTATGTGGTGGCTCTGAAAGTTTAGTGGTTTATGGCATGGTCCGGTGTTGGTTTATAGAGCAACTTTGGCTCTGGTTTCCTCTTACTCAAATCGTGTTGGAGTTGCTGCCTGGTAGACTTGATATCCCACAAATACAATCAAACAAACATTTTTTTCCCTCTCATCATCTCTGTTTGCAAATCGTTCGGTCAAATCGTTCAGTCTATATTTTGGGAGATTGTCGAAAAAAAGCAGGCAGGAGACAACGAGATAAAAATCATGAGTAAACTTTTCCCAGCCAATGCCCTACTGCAACGCCTACACATTATAAACCAGGCGCAAATCTCTCGAACATGACGAGGGATTATCGCTTAGAGAGAAGGGACTCGAGAGAGCGAAAAAAAAAATGAAAAAAAGACTATTCAATAGCCCTTAAGCCAAGCCAACCCTTCCTCCGTCTGTTTTTTCTTCAAATTCATTGCCTCCAACTTCATACAAAGACTTTTCCAGACCATCATTTCTGCATATCCTCCTAGGTCCCTCCCTGAAACTTAGTAATTCCTTGAATGAAAGTCTCGCGATCTTGGGACAGGGTTGGATTCGTCCGCAACGTGATACCAGTCTCACTACTTCTCTGCTCCCCAGCAGTGAGAATAAATAGCAGCAAACCTCAAATAGGCAGCCAACTACCGACAAAGAAACTAAACAAGCGGGGAAACCAAAAGAAACCAAACAATGCCGGCCTACTCTGATGGCCTCAAAGCCGTCTAACCTCGACCGAAGCTGCCGAGGCTTGTATTAATCTAGAAAGGAGTTGTATCGTGGTCGAAGAATCGCAAGCGTTACTGGTAAGTCTATGAGGGTATAAAATGGGGAACAGACTCGATCGACCTGACAATCGACCTGAAAACCGCCCGCAAAAGCATTCAAACGCCGCTCCGTATGCCGCAAGCCAACCGCATGGCCGAGATATTTAGTCGCGATTCCGAGGCCGAGGTCGGGGTGCTGTACGGTTCCCAGTGACCCCGGCGATACCTCAGAAGTCACTTGAATTGGGTGTGGTAGGATCGTCGGACGGGTTGATCCCTTACATCATCTGGTCTTCGCCAATTCCGGGCAAATTCGTCATTGAGTTCTCCATGAGACCCGGCAGGCTAGCGAGGTTGTTGAGTCCTGCGGCTAAGAACTTGAAATCGGGGTTGCAAGGTGCGGAGTGTCCCTTGTGCTACGTTTCCTGTTAGTCGCCGCATTTCGATTACTCCTAGTACCATGTGTAGACTTACGTATTTAAGACCGTTGAGGTTCTTGTAGCGCTTTCCACAAACGTCGCAGGAGAAAGGCTTCTCCTTCTCCATACCCAGAGTACCGGGGTAAGGGGTACTAGTTTCAGGGTTGACGATGGAGAAAGTTCCATCACCGTTTTCGTGTAGCTGTTGCGT